ATGTGTTTTTGTCCCCCCCGTTCGTCCAAGGACGTGGATAGTAGCCGTGAAAAGGGCGAACCAGACGCTGTCGAACTACGATTGCGTGTGAGGGCAACACTTTGTGGTCGCCAGATGTGTTTGCTTTGTTCCAACATGAACGAGAAAAAACCGCCAAGTTGTCCGGACCACCCACGGGTTCCCCCAGTGCGTCTTCAAATTCACACGGCCGCCTGATCGTTCGAACTTTCGTCTGCTCTTTCAAACTTGTCTGCTTTTTGTCGTCTGCTCGTTCAAACAAAAGCGGCCCGTCGACCGAACTTTGACCCGGTGATTGCAATAAGAAGGAATTGCAGGCCTCAAAAGACTTAAGTAGGCTCGGTGTAAACAGTAGATACAAGATGTTGATCATTGGTACCGGTGCCCATCACCGATTTGTTACGCTTGGTCTGTTCCCACTTCCGATTTCCAGCATCGACGTCGATCATCGCCGTTGCCTTCTACACTTTTGCAGCACGAGCGACGTCGCGACCGAAAATAGCTAGAAGAATCTCATCATGGTTTTGGCTTCCATTCTGCGGCGTTCATGCGAATGAATCGCCGCACGTCAAATTATTTACGGAAAGTTTAGCGGCATAACGAGCCTTGATAATTTCGCTCAGGCGTTTAAAGTGGTAAGACATTGCGATGAGGACGTAGAATCGACAATTCCAACGCGAAAAAGAGTATGCAGACTCACACAGACGCCGACAACGTGACATTCGAATGGTTTGTGGACGCGGGACGCGGTGCTTCTTGCCCGCACTCCATTGCGCATCCGTTCGAACTGTCGTCTGCTCTTTCAAACATGGCTGCTTTTTGTCGTCAGCTCGTTCAAACGACAGCGGCCCGTAAACCAAACGTTGACCCGGTAATTGCGATAAGAGCTAAGAACAGGCCTCAAAACACCTTTGAAGGTTGGTTGGGGTGAGTAGGCTAAGTGTAAACAGATACAAGACGATGTTGATCATTGTTACCAGTGGCCATCACCGACTTGTAATGCCCGATTCTACTTGCGGTTCTAGGTATCGACGTCCACCATATCAGCTACGGTCCACACTTTTGCAGTCCGAGCGACGTCGCGACTGAAAATAGCGAGCAGAATCTCATCGTGGGAGTCAGGCTTTAGCGCCCATTCTGCGGCGTCCACGTGAAATGAATCGCCGCACGTCACATTATTCACGCAAAGTTTTTCCTCGTTAGTTTTGCTGAAGCCGCTCAAGTAGTCAGACATTGTTAGGAGGACGTAGAATAAACAATTCCAACGCGAAAACGAGCACGGGGACTCCCACCGACGCCGACAACAACGCAATTCATTGGTTTGTTTATGGGCGACGGCGGGCTTTTTGCCCACCATCTACCGCGCATGCGAGGCGCCGGTGGCGTCCGCTAGGGGCGCTCCGGTTTGTTTGTAAACATGAGTTGGTGTATATATATATACATATATGGCGATCTGTTAGAGATATTGTTGTATGAGTAATGTTTTTGGGTTTTGCATAATCCCGCCTATCCGTCGAGCCTCATTTTGTGAGCTCGAAATTTCGGTTCAGTATTCCTTTAAGGCGTCGACTGTTGATGTCACACCCAACCTCCAGAAAAAAAAAAAGGGCAGAGGACGACAGCAATGAGGCGAGGAGGAAAGGCCTGCTGTTTGCGTGATTGATGTCTTTAACGAAAACGTACGCGTGTTCTAACACGTTTATAATTTCTCTTCCGTATTTTTTTAGCATTGTTTTTTTGTTGTTTTGCACAGCTGGAAGCTAGTCCTCCGTGGAGTGCTCTTAATACCTTTGTCGGACGGGCAACTAAAAGGACTTTTACGCCAAAGGCTTTTACGATTTTCAAATGACCTATAAGCTCTGCCGTGCAAGACAACCCTAGTACATGTCATTTAGACGATGCTTCCAGCGACTGAAGTCTCGTAGCTCTTTCAGTCGCATAAATCACGTTCACGTCAGAAAAATACCATTTTGGCGATATAAATTATTTTTATCTGATCTCTTGAGCAACCAAAATATTAAAAAAGGCAAAATGACGAAATCAGTCGAGTGATAAAAAAAAAGTTCATTTAAACCCCAAGCAAAGTAGTTTTGTGGCAATTAGCGGCAACCCTAAGCGTCTCCCGCCCACTTAGTCCTAACGCAGCTCAGTGCTCCCGCTCCTTTGCGTGCTTTTGCTACGCTTTTGTTCTGTTCGGTTTGGCGTCGTGCTCGCGCTTGAGCTCCATCGCACGCCTCGGAGGTCCTCCAGCCGATCCTCCCACAGTTGTATCAGCGCCCAGGTTGCCTCAACGCCCCAAAGGAAGCACGGCGACCCCTTCCTTTTCGCTCGTCCGTCGTTTGACATATCGCACTACGCGAAGGTGAGATACAGAAATATGTATGTACCAAAAATATTGAATATGTGCAGTACATCAACGTTTTAAAACCCAAGACGTAATGGAATTAATTCTTTGTCTAATCCTTACACAAAGAAAGATATAGGACCACCGACGGTTTAATAGATTCTTTTCCCTAACAGACATGTCACGTCTGTCCAACCTTCCCACACTTATTCAACTACAAAAATAGCTCGGTTAAAATTTCTGTATTCTCTTTATTTTCATAGATTGGGCATTCAGCCACAAAGTTATATTTCACAACTTGACACGCGCTCGACAAGGCATCGTCATTTCCTAGCCTTAACCCCCATATTTGCAAGAACTAATCTGTAAAAAATTTTTCTTCCCAGAACCATTGAAGATTGGAATAAGTTGACAAACGAAGCCTTCGAAACTGAAATATCTTTTTTGACGTATCTTTAATACTAGCAGCGTTATCACATTACAACCTATTCTCGTTTGCTGCTGTTGTTTTTTGCTTTTTGAAATTTATGTTTTTTGCTTTTTAAAATTTATGTTTTTAGAGCGCAGCTCTTAGGCACCCGTTTCCGGCCTGAGCGACGTCGCCGTTGGCGTAACCAAGGTCACTCCAAGGTCACGTGACCCACAAGGTCAGCTCAAGGTCACATGACCCCCAAGGCCGCGTGACCCCTCCTCCAGGGTCACGTGACTCCCCAAGTCACGTGACCCGCCTCCCGAGGTCACGTGACCCCCCTCCCCCCGAAGTCAAGTGACGCCCCCCGAGGTCACGCGACCCCCTCCCCCCGTCGGCGTCGGCGTAACCACGAGTAACCCTCGCAACCCTCGTGAGGGTTACGAGGGTTACTCTCACGAAGGTTACCTTCACGAAGATCACGAGGGCTACGAGGGTTAGTTGCCCTCAAAAGAGTTACCCTCACGAGGGTTATTAGAGTTACCCTCACGAGGGTTATGAGAGTTACCCTCACGAGGGTCACGAGAGTTACCTTCACGAGGGTCACGAGAGTTACCCTCACAAGGGTTACTAGGGTTACCCTCACGAGGGTCACAATGGTTTCCCAGGTCACGTGATCCCCCCTCCCAAGGTCACGTGACCCCTCCCTCCGAGGCCGCGTGACCCCGTTGACTTCATCGCCACTAATGACGTCATCTGTGACGTCACTGATGACGTCACCGCCATCCGCATCGTCATCGTCATCATCACTGATGACGTCATCAGTGACGTCATCAGTAACGTCACTGATGACGTCATGGGCATCGGCATCGTCACGTGACCCCCCGTGATGTCACGTGACACCCCACGGTCACGTGACCCCCCAAAGTCACTTGACCCACCCCTCAGTACCCTTCCCTCCTCCTCCTCAAGAGCTGCACTCTAATTCGGTGTTACAGGAACTTGTAAACGGCTTTCTTTTTTTTTATGGGGGGCAGTCTGGTCCCAAACTGCAATTTGTTTTATTTGTTTATGCGTACATTTGAAAACCTCTGTTATAAAGTGTTGTTTATGCTCTATGATAAATTGTATAATGCAGCCTTACATTATATGTACGCGTTTGTGTTCATGTGTTTTGCCGTATGTATTACTATTATATTTATTATGTATGCTATCCCTCCTGCTTGAGCCCATGTGGGGCCTGCAGTATATGTAAATTAATAAGTAAAATAAAAAAGCGGAAAAGGGGAAACACAGTTTTTAATACACTATTAGAGGGTGATAAAATATAAAGCAGAGAAATATAAGTTAGATATCTGCGGTTGTAAGGAAAATCGAAGTGCAGAAGCGGACGTTGCGACCAGTGGGACGACGAGGCCTAGAGAACTATTAGTATAGAGAGAGGTCTGTACAGAATATACGTGAAGCACGCTCTTTTTCGATAATAAAAATGGGAACGCATTGACGCTAGATATCAGTGGGATCTTTTATTTCAATTCGATTCTCTAGTGTAGGCCGCTGCTAACGAGAGCACGCCTTTGACAGCCGTATAGGAGTTGTGGGGAACTGAGGTTCACGAAAAGGGACCTTTACGCTAAACGCCATTTTAGTTGCCTTCTTCAACTGCTTAAATGACATTTACAATAAACGTCCTTTGGCGTGAAGGTCATTTTAGGTTCCCGTCTGATAGTGGAATAACACACGAAATGGAGACAGAAAAATAAGCACAAAGTTTGTTTCGTCTCACGCCTTTTACAACGAAGACCGCCGCGACCGATAAGAGAAGGCGAACCTCGGATATCGCTGCTTTCCGTTGAACCAGGTATCACGAGATAGTCAGGTACTACAACCAAATGTGAGCTAATGCTATCGGCACTGCGTCACACCACGTTTGGGTTGACGGTCCGCAGCCGAAGCTCGGATCCGAACAAGCGGCACCGAAAATTCATTTTTCACCACGTTCGTTGCCTATGTGCGTTAGCCATGACCGACTAAATCAATCACGCGCAGTGAATGCGCCGCGATCAGGGGAATTTTAACTCGCGTGATTGGCTTCACCCGATTTAGCAAACCTACAAAGGCAACGAGTGGCGTCGCGTTACACATCACAAGCCGCCGGCTTAACGTCGTCGGTTCTTTGCCGCTCATTTGCGCTATGGGAGCTAATCTTCTACCTATTTTATCCGTCCGCGTAACGCACGACGTAGCTCGATCTACGCGCCTCAAATAACGTCACGCGCGAGTGCACAGCTTAATCTCCGTCTCACGGGGAGACAATTTCTACCCGACGCCCCTTTCTGCATCGCCGCCTTCGGATACCGGTTCTCAGCGCCGGAGAGAGAGGAGCCCTCGTGAAGCGGAAAGAATCATAAGTGGTCTTTTCCCGACAGAAATGTGCATGTGTACGACGCTTCTTCTGTTTGCGCTTGTGGCAGCTGCGTCCGGCGCGGTCCGCTACTACGTGCCCGTGCTGTCGCTGCTCGCTGAGGCGTTCGGAACCCTTGTGCTGGTGGGATGGGGCTGTCAGAAGTCGGCCGCATTTATTCGTCGACGACTTTTTGGACGGATTCTGGACAGTGCGGGGAAGGCCGTGCTCATTACAGGTACTCGATTCAGTATGAAAAACGGTATAATGTGTTTGTATGCCTTGCCTGTCCGGGGCGGGTGCACAACGTATCTTTTCTGACCTGGGGACGACACCAGTGGGGTGCTAGAGGCTACACTCGCTTCGCATTTTTCGTGCTGGTGGTAGTCACCATCAGTCAAATAGTTTTCTGCTCGCGGTGCTTAGTACACAGTGAAGTTTCAACTACTTGACAAATTATGTTTTTTTTTAATATAAAAATAGCTACTGTGGTGTTTTCACCAGATACCTTTACTTTCCTATGTTTTATCCGCACATACCAGCATTCCGCACGAATGCACGCCGAAAGAAAAATGAACATGCAAGTTGGTTAACTAACTTTTCATAACTACAACTTTTTCAGTTCATTAATTTTCGCAGTTTTCGATTTATCGTTATTTACTGAACTTTTAGGGATGTCCCGTAATCAGCCCGTCGGCCTTAAGAAGAGTACGTGCCCCTTTTGTCGTGAATATGCATTCTAACGTAACTAACAAACACATAAAACTGCTCAATTGAACCTTCACAAAATATGATGCGAACAAATAAACTGGTGCGCGAGAAAATTTTTAATAAGAACACCGGGTCTGGGTACAGAACATCAGAGAAAGTGTGATCTGTGACATGAACGAATGCAAAAATCAGGTGTATCTCGACGATACATTTTCCCGGTAAGTTTAATACCAGCGGCTAAAAGACACTTCTCGTTTCGTGGAAAGTGAGAGGATATTGTGGTCCCGTTCGCTATCAACCCGAGATTGCGACGTCTTTTTAGAGGGATATCACCTTGATATATGTTTATATTCCCCCAAAAAACATTCATACTCTGAGTTCTCAGTTGTTGGGGAAGAAATGAACGTATTCACCCTGTTCGTCTCCGAAAATTGTGAGTATAGCAGGGTGTCTATAATAATAAGGTCCGCATTAATGAGACATCGAAACGCGAGTGCTTTTTCTCGGTGCTGTGAATAAAGGTCAACATGATTTAAACCATAATTGATATCATAATTTAAATCGTGATTTAAATATGTCCAGTTTTACCTATGATGATTTAAGTGAAACCTTCCGCACTCAAATAGTCCCAAAACTATTTTTTTTTTATTTATCACATCTCTATCATTTCACGCTTTCGATGTGCATTTGTTTTGTACTCGGGTCGAAAAATCGTCGGGCAGAAAATATTTATTTAAAGCTGAACACTAGCGCAAAATGGTGGTTTTAGCAAATGGAGCGTTGAGCGTGATTTTTGCCTTCCATTCCGCTCGCCAGCTAGGTCACGTCCCATAGCAACAAACTAAGCACAGAAACAAAACCTGAGAAAAGTAATATCGTATTGAAATGAAGCCAAAACTTGAAAGAAAAAGAACAATAAAAAACTTTGAACTACCTGAACAATCTGGTTGTTTTTAATTTAGGATGGCGGGCATTGCATGAATACCAAGTTGTTAATTAAAGTATACTCTAAATTTACTGTATTTTTTTGTGCATTGTTATCAGTGATTCAACGAATGGATCAATTCATCTGCCAATGTATAAAAATATATATATTGTGGTAAGAAATCACTATTTTCTATCTATAGTTTTTTAAATGAAAATAACTTGACTTAAAACAAATACATCCGATTTAAATTAAATAAATTTTATTTATTTATTTATTTATTTTCTTCCTCGCAATTTTTTTCTACGCTAACTTTGCTACAGTGTCAGTGCCATTTAGCGATAATTAATGGCCGATATACATTTTTACAACCGGTTTTCCTTTGCTAGATGTCGACACGACGGTTTCACGTGTACAGTAGTCCTTTCTGATGTAGCATGCGACTGAGTTGAATAGATTTATTGCTAAATTGCCCTAGCATTAACAAGCATGCAGGGAACGTAGTTACAGGCGCTGCGCGTGCCGGCATTCTCAGTAGCATTTTTTAAAGCAAGGATCTGAAACAAGTGACAGTTCGCGCGTGCGTCCGCAAACACCTTTTTGTTATTATATCTCTGAAATCTTTAATGCAGGTAAGGCGAGTGAGCGCAGCACGTCACGGCTTGGTAACGAGAACTTTGCGTGAGATGTTGAAAGCGAAACGTGTCCACCACAGCTTTGATGGACGCTCGATGTGCGCGAGCGTGTGGACGCCTGCTCGTGGAGGCTTCCCAAATATATAAGCAGGCTGAACACGGTGTGAAGCCAAGTCGCCTAATGGTGATCGGTCACACGACAACGATGTTAACTGCATCAGTCCAAAGTGCAGGCCCGCAGGCGTTTCAAGGAGTTATTACTGCAGAGAAAACAGTTGCCTCAGGGCACGCTTGTTTGATCAAACGAACGCTCTGTAACGAAAATAAACTGACCGGGTATTTTGCCCGGTTCTTTGGCTATGTGTGGTTTTGCTGAAAACGGAAGAATCAGCAGAATTTGGTGTCCTAATCATGCTTGCCTGATTCTTTTTTTTTCTCCTTTGATGTAGTCATATCTAGATGCGAGTGTGCAGTACCGGCGGGTGGCATTTTACCATCAAGCTGAGAATAACTATTTTCTGAACTATAACACATAAACTATACTAGCTGAAGAGTTCAGAGTTTACGCAATGTGAATTATCTACAAGGGCGCACTATATACTTTTTGTAGATTGTTGTTTGTAAGGAGACGTGACAAACCTTTTGAATAATAGGTCATGTTAAGGAACATTCTTGTACTGTATTAGAAGTTTTTGTGTGCCTCTAATAAAGCAGGTACTTGTCAAGGTGGACAGCGTATGATAGCTTATAGCGTGCGGAATAGGAACCGGATGTAGATTATGCACAGGATGCGAACCATGTAGCAGTTGGGGACACTCTAAGGACAAACATTTTTTAACCAAAAGTTGTCCCTGAAATTCTACACCGGATAAGGAAAAAATAGTAAATTTTGCATCGGCACATTCTGAAAGAAATTAGTACAACTAATGGTATAAGCTCAACCTGACTATGATTCATAATTAAGCATCCCTTTCTAAGGTAAAGTGCATTACTGTAAAAACCAGCTACGCGATCTCGTGAAGAAATACCGGGGCGTCTGCACTTTCCGAATGTAAAAAGAAAAAACAATTCTAGGCAATACTTTGTCACTGTTCTAAAACCCGGTGTATATAAAGGCGCCGGCTATCATAACTGCTGCAAGAGCCCTGACGCTTCGTGTAGGCCGATTATTGTAAAATTCAACTCTTATATGGATAGGGAACTTGTGCTTTCGAAGGCCCGCCAATTGAAGGGCACGAACTTTCGCTTGAGTGAAGACTTCCTAGAAGATGTCCGCAAAGCAAGAAGAGGGTTGGTTACGTTCGCAAAAAACCAAGGACAACCCTTCGAACTACGCCATGATAAACTCGACTCGATCTATAGAATATTTCTTTCTCAATCATCAATGAAGATCTGTGATAAAATACTAAAAGGGCACGGAGATACAATTTTACAACCATCAGTTCACACTGAATCTTCTCTCCTGCCAATGAAAGATGTAAACAAGGTAAACACACCTCGAGCATCTCAAACTAAATTGCGTCTAACGGTGTAAATATTGCTAGAAAAAATTTGTTTTTCAAAGTATTTTTTTTTCTTTATATATACGCGTTTCATCTAGGCGATCTATAAAATGTCTTTTTTTATTGCAGTGTTCATTTAAGTTCTTTAAAAATTTAATTCTTTTTGCCGCCAATCAAGCCCAATATGGTTTAGGCAGGTTTGACTTCACACTCGCTTTGTTCATTTGCAATGAAATTCTTCTTAATAATAATATTATTATTACCATTAATACTAATATTATGTTTCACGTTGCGTACTTAAATTTGATGTGGACGCTTCTTTCCCCCGATCATTCACCCAGCTCGCTCCGTGCGTCGCAATAAATAACTCTTGGAAAAAGAGTCTCCGTCCCGAAATTTCCACATTCACAATTGCGTCACTTTGCTGCACACTAGGGACGATCCAGGATTTTGGCGTCCCCAAATGAGAATTATATCTGTTAATTCATGTTGATCATTTTTCTTGTCTTTTCTTTCAAATCTGGCCCGGTATAATAATCAATGCGCCTCGTCACATTGGGCATTGCGAGGGGAGTTTTTTTTTTTTTAAATTTAGCATTTGTCTTTCACGTGTCAATATAACACAGAAACATATTCTGCATGTCTTCGAACAGAATATAAACATTTCCACCTAAGGTTGTTATTTTAATTTTTGTAGGAATGGTTCTCATCTGTCCGTAATACAATTCATCTGAACAAAAATCCTCAAATTAAAATGAATCAGTGAATTGAGAAGAAAAAACATTGTTGCAGGTTGTGACACAGGGTTCGGCAACCTGCTGACAAGAAAGCTGGCAACAAAAGGTTACCATGTCTACGCCGGGTGCCTCTTCTCAAACGGAGGTGGAGCCCAGGAGCTGGCGAGCATCTCCAACGTTACAGTTTTACAGCTCAATGTGACCAAAGAAGATGAGATCGACGCAGCTTACGAAGCCGTCAAAAGGAGCCTTGGGCACAACGGTAAAAAATCTGACTAACGAATTACCATGCAAATAGTTTACTGCGTTTAGTTGCCTGAGAATGTCAAAAGAAGGGTTCTGCTTGCAAGAAGTTCTGAACGTAATGTGGCTTTCTAACTTTTTCCGCATAGTCACTCGAAGCCTAAAAAAGTGCAGCACGGAGCTTATCACTTTCCTGTTTCTTGCCTCGTGATCGGTTTTTTGACGTTCTTTTATCATTAATGTCGAGACCTTATTGGCTGTGGAGGGATAATGACATGCTGGAGACTCGAAGCCCAGCTCTCAGTGTAAAAGTAGCGCTTCAAGAACGTATTCACCGCGACCAATATCTGATATTGAAAAAAAAAAAAACATATTACAACGAATGGTCTCCCAGCATTAATGTTTTATGATGGAAGCTATGCCGGAACGCGGCATTTCAGCGACCACACCAATACTGAAGAAAAAAGAAATGCTGACATGGAACAAACGAGTACATGGTCTGATGCTTAAAATAGACAGAATGAAAACACTGAGCACGTTTAGAGTCAACAGCAGTCTTTAAAAAAAGAGTGTAGTTGTCGGTGAACGTCCTCCGTGTTTTTATTCTTTCTATTTGATCTATTCCTAATAGAACACGCTAGCTTTAACCAGTGGCTTGATGCTCGTACAAAAATAGTTGCGCCCTGCGACTTAAGTTTGTTACCACCCCGTGAGTACAAACATGTAGTACGAGATTTCGCTGTAATACAAAAAGGCAGTGTGTTGCCTGGTCAATACTTTACGGCTATAGGGTATGGAAAAATATATTTCTCTCCGGTTCAAAAATTAACGCTTGTTAACATTTCTTGCATAAAACAAACAGAAACAAAACGATAATTCGGTTGTTTTAGGTTTTCTTACTCGTTTTATTTTCCAAACGAAGTTGTGCAAGCAAATGAACTGTTGTACCAAAAAGGACTTACTGTAGGAAACAAAGTAGACAGTAAATGGTTTTGTTCATCAAACCACTGTCTAAAATAGATGCGAAGTTTCGATATCGTGTTCCTGCTTTAGTAACGGATGCTTGAAAAGCGTGCGCTATAGCCTACTATTATCACGTTTATTTGTGTGTGGTTCCTTTTTTGATGTCCTTATGATCTGATTCTTCTACCTGACCGGTTGCGGAACGATAATAAGAAGCCCTGACCTTCTCACGGCCTGCGCATCTTCAGCTTAGAGTGGTTACAACTTCCTCGCGCATGGTACAATGCCGAACATCCCAAGCCCGAATTCGCTTTGAGCCGCGTCTGCTGATCACACATAGCGCGCCGTTCTAAATTCAAACCAAAATACTTCTTTTAGCTTTAACTGCTCGTCATATTATGTATCTGATTGGTAGAGCCTGGTTGTTCAATTCACGTTCGGGGATTCTCGACAACCAGCCTAATGGGTATTTTACGTAAATCGACCAAGGCAAACTCCGAGACAAAGTAACAACCTGCAAGTCTCCAGTTTCGGGGCTGAAATTCACGTAAATAAGCCCCCCCTAGGCAAATTTTTAAATCTTCGCAGAGTACTACCTTGCTATTTTATTTGCATCGCTGTACAGATTCCATCAATTTTCAACAGGTATTCTTGAGACTTAGAATTTGGGAATACGAAAGAAAATAAATATAAACTTTACAAGGGGTTTCTCTGTATGAATGGTGATCTTTTCCAGTTTTCGCGGTCTTTATATTGAATCAACTTTTTAAGTTAGCAAGGTTTTTACACAACAACTAACACACATTTGACCGCACCGTGTGTTGTCAGCGCGCGTTTTTCATAAATTAATTTTACGTGAGATGAATCGTATGCACCTGCGCCGTGCTGATAGATGTGCCATTGTAGCAGCGTGATATCAGAAACGCGCGAGGGTCTATACGGCTCTGGCTTACAAAGATTAAATGCTTTTTTTTTCGAAGAATATATTCAACTTCGCTCGCTTGCATTAGACAAGGCACATACAGCACCAAATCCTTCCCTAGCGGGACGGACGATTCGCGTCTAAGAGGGTGCATGTGCGCCGCCTGCCAATGCTCTCACGCGTTCGCGCTGCGCAGAGAAGACTGCCCCCAGGCACGTAGCCAGGTGGGAGTGGTGCCCATAAGCCCGGTCCCCCCCCCCCCCCCCTGAAATCTTCCATTTTGCTGGGGCCTCCTCTCCTCCCACCCCCTCATACAGCATTTTGTCATGGGCCTTTCCGAAACAAAATCCTGGCTACGTGCCGGACTGCCGCCAACACACCAAGATACCGGATTCACCTAGGCAGCAGAGGCGGCTTTCTCAGCTGTCTCGACGAGTTTCTACGACGCTAGATGGCGCTAGTCACCCCTCGAAAATTCTAATGTAAAACACCGGGATGAAAGCCAAATATAAAGAGAGTTTGGCTACTCATTGAGAAGTATATGACGCAAATGAGGAGGCGCCATTAGCCGAAAGCGGGCTTGGCGTGTTCCAGAACGTCTTCAAGATTTCGGATAAGGCCAGCCAGAAGCCGGAAATAATACCCTGGCGGTGTTCGCGAGAGAAGAAAGTAATAAGTGCGTCGGGGTAACTCTCGGTGACTGAAAATGTGCTGCACGTGATGTTTCAATCACGGTCATCTAAAATCATAGGGGAAGAGCGCGACTAGCAGAAGGATCAACATAATCCGTACGCAAAGCGCCGAGGGCCGGGAACCTGCCGACCGAGCGGTCACACTCTGTCCGAGCAAAACAGAGTTTATGCGGTACCTTCTGTTTCTTACATCTATTTGCTTGATCGTAATCGAAACGCCACGTGCACAATATTTTCAACCACGAAGAGTTTCTACATTTAACCATTCGCTATTATTAAAAGTGCTTCTAGCTAGCATCGCTACACTGTAAAAAAAAATCCCGTCAAATTACGGAAATTGCCAGTTAATTTTTGATGCCGGTACAATTTCCGTTGTCTTGCATAACGGTCACAGCATTAACTAGGTATTACGTGCATGACAGTAATGAGGCCCTACGGTTTTTTCCCGTAACTTGACCCGTAGAAGCACGGCAGAAAACCGTAACTCTCATGTACCGTGATCCACAGATACGGGAATTGTTCCGGCATCGAAAATTAGCTGGCGTGTTGTCCGTAACTTGCGACGGCAAAAAACCGTAACAGTTAATGACTGAGCTGCACGTGATGTGCAACGACTGAAATCGTTCCGGCATCGAAAATTATCTGGCGTGTTGTCCGTAACTTGCAGCGGCAAAAAACCGTAATTCTCAATCACCGAGCTGTACGTGATGTGCCAAAACAGGAATCGTTCCTGCATACAAAATTAGCAGGTGTGTTGTCCACACCTTGCAGCGTCGGCCACAGCCTGTTGAACTGCTAGCTGCAGTGACTTAACAAAATGGATGTCTAAGTGAACAATAAATATAGCATTTTACTGCTCATTTATTGTTCACTGAGAAATCGGTTTTGTTAAATCACTGCAGCTAACATTTTAACAGGCTCTGGCCATTGCTGCAATGTGCGGACAACACGCCAGCTAATTTTCAATGTCGGAACGATTCCCGTCGTCACTCATGATGTGCAGCTCAGTGATTGAGAGTTACAGCTTTCTGCCGCTGCGAGTTACAGACAACACGTAAACCAATTTTTGATGCGGGAACAATTCAATTTAAATATCTAATGCCCAGGGAATGTGACAAGGCTGCAGGTCCAAGTTCTTTCAGGAGTCAATGCCAGCTGCGCATCCCAGAGATTAACAGCTGCTTAAACACTGTGTTAGAAATTTCGAGGAAGTGCACACAAGATACAGTATTAAGTAAAACATGTTCATACCTTTATTCTTAAGAAATAATTAGTGGGCCATGTCCAGCTTTCCTGTGAAAGGCTATCTCTAATTTTCTGAGCAATCAAGTCCATAGGAAGAATTACAGAACCTGGAAAATAAAACAAAAAATAAGGAATGTGGTTAGGTTATAAACAGAATGTGATGACAGAATAAACCTCCCAATTTCCGCAAGCTATGAGTTACACGTAAGGGCATTGAAAGAGCCTCAGCTGAACTCTGGCGGGCACTAAACAGTGAAACCAACTTGTGACTTGTGATATGAAACCATTTTAACAAGGGAAGTTAGGAAAATTCCTTAAGACAGAATTTCCGCATCCAATAAGTTACTTCAAGTTTGTTGTCACGAGTTAATTTCAGAAGTTACTGCCAGCTGTGCTTCCAGACTTAATTAAGCACCGTGTTAGTTGGGTTGTGCGAATATTCGGAATTACGAACTGTAGTTTCAAATAATACACTGTGCTGCTAACAGCACAGAAGAAGTGTGCTGTTAGTGTTTTTCGAAGTGTTGGTTGCGACGGGCTAGTCTCGTTGAGTGCGCTTCTTACCGAGCACCGTTGCAATGCGGAGAAGCAATACCTGCGGAAGCAAGCTCCGCGGGTGTTGCTTCTCCACAGTGCAACGGTGCTCGGTAAGAACCGCACTCAACAGGATAACCCACCACGATAAACACTTGGGAAAGTAGAAATATCGCAATTGCGTGCTTGGAAGAAAAGCATACATTGAACGCGGGGTGGTGCACGTGTGCCGGCTGTATTTAAAAATAAATGGAAACTTTGTGAATGTGCACATCTACTATGTAGTAAAAGTTTCAAAATTAAACTGACTGTTATGCAAGAGTATACTATGTTAGGCAGAGATGCCCTTACAACCTGCGTTCCTCATGCGCGATTCATTCTTTTAGAGCACAGCTCTTAGGCGCCCGTTTCCGGCTTAAGCGGCGTCGCCGTAATCGCGTTTTGCATTATGGGAAGTTTCCCATAATGACGTCACGAAGATTACCCTTGTGAGGGCTACGAGGGTTAGGGTCACGAGGGTTATCCTCACGAGGGTCACAAGCGTTACCCTCACAAGGGTTGCAAGAATTAGTTACCCTCGAAAGGGTTACCCTCACGAGGGTCACGAGGGCTACTCTCACGAGGATCACCCTCACAAGGGTCATGAGGGTTATGAGAGTTACC